TAAGGGGATGTAATGATGATGATGATGATGAATAAACGCATTTCCAATTTGGATTTTGAAAAACAAAACAGAATCTATAAAACTTTTTTTAATTCTAACATTTTTATGTTCAGATGTTTATTGTCAGACAATTTCATGTCTCGTTACACCTTATGACCATTTTTGTACAATAGTATTATTATGAGTAAATAATGATATGGTTGCCCTAATCGCTTTTTTAATGTGTTATATTAGGTTGGCCTTATGTATCTATGCATGTATGTATGTATAAAAGTAATGGAATTTAATAATTCTGATTTCCAGATTTCTGAATTTTCTGAAATTTTTAGACGTATTAAAAATACTATGACAATAACTTCCTGAATAAATTCATGACTACGACCTAGTTTTTTTCACTAAGATCATCTCAGCTCATGTGTGCATTATCATTAATGCGTATTCATCATCACTATACACTCCGTCATAAACACCGTGTCTTTTCTGCCGACTTCAAAAAGGACACGGTACTCAATTCAACTGTATGTTTTTTTTATGTGTTACCTCATAACTTTTTACTGGGTGAACCGATTTCGATGATTCTTTTTTATTTGAAAGCTGGTACTTCACATATGGTCCCGTGTGTAAATTGATCAAGGTCAGACCAATAGTTTTTTAGTTATTCTTAATAACTTATATTGAAGTCGGTTGTACAAAATTTCTTACCACATTGCCTTATTAAACTTTTTAAATTCTTACAATATATCGAAACGGTGCAAAAATAAGGGAAAGTAGAAGTATTTAACTGAGTAAAAAAATTTTTGAGATCAAATGGCACACATTAAACATGAAAGCACTTACAATAGATTCAGACTCAGAAACCGTCAGTTCGTGTTCAATAGCCTGATGCTCAGACCAATAAATCCAGGTTTTCATCTAGCGATGACATGATAGTAAGTATTTTTCTAATCTACAATCATATAAGGAACATATACCGCTTAGCGTATGTCAGTGCCATCAAATAGTAAGTATTGTTTGCGTGTTTAATTTAGATTATTATTGTTAATATGACCTTTTAAGCCACAACTAATCTACAACAACGTTTCTGCGGAGGTGTAGACTGCGTAATAAGTGCAAGAGCATAGCGACGGGCTAAGTTTTATGACGAAAGCATTATTATGTATGACAATAGCATTTAATTCTGCATATTATTAACTTTAATTAAATGCATGGTTTCATATTTCAGCTATACACAGCTCTAAGACAAATCTAGTAACTGTACGAAATCAAAAAAGTAGTGTAACGGATGGCTCGAGCCAGTTCATCTAGAATCGTTTGTTAAAAACTAATTTTATCAACACAAGCGATTTGTAACACTAATTAATAGTCATTGTTTTTGTTTTTAGATTATCCACCATCTTTGAATCCATTTTTCAATTATTTCCTTTTAATTTAATTATAACTGGCATATTTTTTAAAGTCAAGAAAAATACACTCTGCTTAAATCACAATTCACGATATCATAACAATACAGATCTTCCAGAACGATTTTTGTCACCGCGGCCAGTTTAAACGGAGACTAGCCAAGTTCGAAGAACAGTATTATGGTACAAGTGTGCGTGCGCAAGCACAGGGTGCACTCCCTACTCCCTCACTCTCATGTCCATTTGGACAGAAATCCAACACGACCTGAGAGAGATCGGGTGCAGGACCAACAGCTCTACGTGCTTTACATTGAAGTACAGGAGTGAAACACCGCCAACTTCCTCTTCACTGGAAACAAGGCATTCCATCTTAGTCCTCACGGGTGACAACGCATCTGCATTTTGATTCTTAATCGACGGTAAATGTAGATGGGCCAAAGCATCAATTTACCATCAGGTGGACTGTGTACTCGTTTGTCACCCTTATCCTATAAAAAACTTGTTTGTAAACTGCCTCACGATACAGGAGAAAATCCTAGTGCGGGGATGAAGTTTAAAAAAAAAATGAGTGATCATTAATTCTATGTTACTTATTTATTGTTAGGCCTATTTAATGCCAACAACCTAATATACATTGATATTATTTGATAGGTATCGATACGTTATCTTATTAAGTATCACGATATCTATCAATAAATATGTTTTAATATTAAGTAACAAGCTTCATTAAGGGGTATTCCAAATATTTATTTATTTCACTGATAATAGTAATTGCTTATTGACAATAATAATTACAAAATGACATAATCATTAATGTACATCATATAAATTGTATTTATTAATTTTACAAGTGTCTCAGAACTTAGTCAGATTTTATTAGAATTGAATTATTTAAATTTAAAGTAATACAATTTTTATTGTAACAATGAGAGCTTATGACGTTATTGATTAGTACTCGTATATTCAATTTTATAGAATAAAGGTCGTTTTGCCAGGTCGTAAAAAGTATATCAATTGACATCAGTGACAACGACCCTATAATTGTGTAATTGATTATTATGATTTAGATTAACTCAGCACAAAGTTCATGTTCAGTATTGAATCGGTTTCAAGTCTGAGACAGCCAGTAGGTATAATAAAAAGCTTGGAAGCTACCTTAGACCTGTGGGCTTACAAATCTGTAGCTTCTTTTTTGTTTGAGGTTGGTTGTTTATTACTCGGTTACTCAGTCCAATAAAGAAAAATAGACAGAGAGATGCATACATTTTAAGTGACGCCGAAACCATACTCAACTACTTGACACGCACTCACTGACACATCTTCTTTCTACCCACAAATGATTTTAAATGAATATGTGTGCGTGTGCCAATGAGTTTTAAATGAACGCAGTGCTGGGTATATCACCCAACTGCAATTTGCCGACGATATAGTCCTTATGGCAGGATCGCTAGAGAACCTAAGTCCTATGCTCAATAACTTCAATAGTGCCTACCAAAGGATAGGTCTTAAGATAAATATGGACAAAACAAAAATCATATGAACGTCCATGTTACACGTATGTTGGTAGTTTTTGGGAGCACTAAGCTCGTAGTTGTTGACGAGTATGTTTACCTTGGGACAAATGGTCCGACAAGGTAAGTCCAACTTCGACCGAGAGAGAGCTCGATCGACGCATTCAACTCTGCTGAGGAGCGTTTGGCAAATTACGACACATCTCTTCGTCAGGTGTCGTCAACCATTTCGTGTTGCCAGTGATGACTTATGGTTCTTCACTGCTGATCGTATGAGGAAACTCAAGGTCGCTCAGCGTCAGGTTTCTTTGCGTGATAAGCTTAAAAATAAGGCTATCACCGTAGGACCAGAGAAACCGACATAGCCCAACGAATTAGAAAGCTGAAGTGGCAATGGGCCTGCCATGTACGAGGATAGTTTCTCGAGTGGTAGCAGTCGACTTGTGAAGGTCTGTAATGATGATGAATGATGATGAGTTTGAGAAAGTGTGTCCTACATATATAATAAAATAAAATATAAAATAGTTTTAATTACCAATACAATTTAAATAAATGATTACGCTTTGACGACTTGATTTAAAATGTGTTCTTTATTTATGGTTATCTGATGTAACGTAAGTTTGAAAATTTTCTTTGTATTTTCATACGCATGTTCTATAATTTATGATAATCAATATTACTGTATATCTTTGGCAATCATTGCACATTAACCTTTAATCCTTTGCGATAACCTTCGATAGTTATCTCTAAATAAATTTTATCCATAACAAAACATAAAATCAGGAAATAATATTTCTTTTCAGATCTTGATATGTATCAAATACATACTGCTACTTTAGTAGAAAGGATTAGTGGTGATTTTTAAACTTTTTTACTTTTCGTCACCGATCTCCCTCCGGGGTGACAACGCATCTGCATTTTCATTCTTAATTGAGGATAAATGTAGATGTCTATGGTAGTTTAAGAGCCAGTGAGCGGCAGATTTACGGTATTTCAATAAGCTTCACGTATTTTTCAGTTAATCTCCTGTACCTGAGGTATATGAAATGGACTCTTTAGTTTAACCGGCGGTCGATATAGCTCAGGTGTAAAAAAATGACCAAAAAACGTGATAGTAATAAGTCTGGGGAAAAATATGTGACAAAGCATCCACTTATCATAAGTTGGACTGTGTTCTCATTTGTCACGCTTATTCTATAAAAACATATGTATCTCAACAGAAATTATGAGCTCGTAACAGAAAATGATAAATTGATATGGATAGGGGCCGGTGCTGAAAAATTTTCTATGACATATTATCGTAAAAACACAGAAGATTTCGAAAACTAAGGTTAAATAAATAATCTTCGACATGTAATATATTTAACGCTTTGATTTCTCATAAAAATCGTTAAAATTTGAACAATCAGGCAAATCTTATTCGTTCAGCACGGCACTTATAGATAGATGCTTACATCTTTTTGAATGTAACATGTATGACTACAAAAATTCGAGTTTCTTAATAATGCTTAAAAGTCAACAAAAGTTGCTTTTTTTGATTCTGATTTTGTATTTTAAAAGATAATTGGAATCAAAAATAACCTAAATTACCACTAATGACGTGACCATTATTTCACGAGCAAATGCTAGGACGCATTGTAAATTGGATTTAAAAAAAAACTGACACGCATATTTAATAAAATCAGACAAATAAGAATCATCTTAAACTATCATAATGTATGTGTTACGGACCAAGTGATTGATAGGGCTGTGGAAACACACCGAAGTCTAAATCGCGATATCAAAGTTCCGAAGTTACCGCGCTATATATAAAGCAGCTCCGAAACAACATACGAAGCGTTGGCCGCTCCTGGGGCTGAACACCTTGCCCGGCGGGAGATCTTCCCTTTCCCTTTCACGACCAAAGGGCATTTATCATAATGTCCACACAGTTTGAAAAACGTCCATAATTTTAGGGAATATGATAAAAACTAATGAAATAATAAAATTGACTTGGCTTTATGAATAGAGTCCGTTTTTTTTAATACAGAGTAATAAAAAAATAGAGTAGGATGTTCCATATATAATAATTGAAAAAAGATGGATTAGGATGTTCCAAAGAAAGCAATTGAAAAAACAAATTGATACTTGGGAAATAAAGTTTTTCATTAAAGGTATTTCTTCTTTGTAACGCAAAGGAAGGATTCAATGCGGTATGTCATTGCTGTTACTTGACGCTGCAAAGTGGTTTTACATAATATTAGTGAAATACAAAAAGAAGAGTATACACTAGTGCGCAATATTACTACTAAAAACTGCACTGCTACACTACGTTGTTACTACTAAACACGTTACCACATTGTACAATAACATTCGTAACTCCGATTACGACAGTTAGGAGTAATTTGAAATAAAAAAAAATGTACAATCGATTTCAATATAAATTATTAAGAATAACTCAAAAACTATTGGTAAGACCTTGATCAAATTTATATGGGACCACATGAGAAGCACCAGCTTTCAAATAAAAAAAGAATCATCGAAAAGCAACATACAGTCGAATTGAGTATCGTCTCCTTTTTGAAATCGTATAAATTTAATCAAGGTCTGGCCAATAGTATTTAAATAATCCTTAATAATATATATTGAAGTGGATTATACAACATTTTTAATATTAAATCTTTTGGTTTGTTGCTCTCTTTCGCCATTTAAACAACAACCATGGGACGATATGGGGTAGTAGATATTCTTATACCGTCACTACACGTTGATCTACTGTGATCTAAATAATTTATGTTTCTTTAAACATATAATATTAAAAATGTATTTTTAAAACCATTTATGTGATACTACAATACTATACACGATACATTTGATTATCATTTTTACGTAGCGAGTTATTAGTTCACTATATTTATTGTTGATTGCATTATAACAATACATCGATTGAAAATAAAATATTGTCAAAATGTGAAAACTATTTAGGGGTTACGGGCGGACATAGAAACAGACATCCATACATTTAACAAATCTGGTCATTAATAATGAAATTTTTAGAGCTAGTATTGACTAAATTTTCCATGGAGACATTGCGTCAATCAATAGCTTTGTGGCTAGAATGTAAGGTCTCAAATCTGAAAGCGGCCTTATTAAATAGTTTTTTTATGAATCGCTTAGATAACGATAAATATGCAAATAATTTTTAATTAATATATTACACCGTTTTTTTTAAATATATAATTTCAATATTATCTTTACATAAATAAATGTATTTTTTTAAAGTGCGCAATTATATAAACAAAGATTTAATTTAATTCATATTGTTAATATATAACAAGATAGTCCAAGAGTAATCGGTGCATGAGTACCGGAAACTAATCCACCTCAATTTTTATGCGCAATTATTATTTTTATGCGGATGATATAAATGTTGCCATGGGGCAACTCGGTGCCATATTGTTTGAACCGATTTTTTTTTTTCATTTGCAAGCAATTGTTATTTTCAAACGGGACAGTTTCATTTTCATTCTTTGATGATAATAAAAGGTATTTTAATATAAAAATTAATTAATTATATATAAAAAAATATTATTATTATTAAAATTAACTAGTGAGCGCGCGTAATAAATAATTAAATAACTGGTATAAAAATGATTTTTTTATTCTCGCTTAAGGATATTATTAACTATTGTCTTATTAAAATAAAAAAATATCTTTTATATTTTATTCTTTTTCTTTATGTATTTTAATGGGATAAAAGTATCCGAATTGGTATGGGGCAGAAGTGGGGTGGTCTTGTTCTTCCAGAATGATGACAACACTCTATTGAATAACTACAGATTGATTACCCTTCTGAGCCGCTACATGCTGTTTTCGAAAATCATTTGGAATCGTCCCGCACGCATACTGACGGCTTCCGGCCTCCTAAACAAGCCTAATGTCGAAAAGTTTTTAGTACCATAGTATAGTATAGGTAAGATATTGAGCGTTTTGTCGAGCCATTGGTTGATCGTATAGCGTAACGTCATGTCACATGAGCACAAATTATTATTAGGATAGGGATATTGCATAGTAGTAAGTACAGCCAATTGATTCGTATGGAAAATGCGTCGCCACGCTTCACTCTTCTCAAACACCTTTCACCAAAACTGTGGGCTACCAATCAGAACACAAACAGGTGCAAAAATCAACTAGATGCGTTTGTTTACAAATGTTAATTAAAGCTAAGATTCATACCAAGACTAACAACGAGGTACTCTGAACGCTAAACCACACGGTTAAAATTGTTTCTATTCTGCAGTGCTATTGTGGAACATAAGTGGGAATTGTGATGAGTTTCGTTGTACGTTTGAAGTTTTATTTCGTTGCATTTTGTAAACATTTCGGCATTGTTTATAAGCCGATTTCTATCTTATCGGAAACATCGGGAATACTTGAGAAGGTTAATTGTTAAAAACAATAATACGAGTAGTGTGAGAGCGGATTTTCAACTTGCTCTTCTGCTTACGCAATCAATCATTATCAGCAATGAATATCGTGCTGCACTATACATTCAGTACAGAGTAATCACAGTTTGACCATACCGTAATATGTCCTTGTCACGATTACACAGTAGTGTAACATGAGAGGCATAATTACATGATATTTAATAAATGTAATATTCCGGACCGATACGACTTAGGGACCCTCAAGAAAAGAGCGTGTTCGTTTTTAAAAGGCCGGCAACGCATCTGCAATTATCCTGGTGTTGCAGTTGTTCATGGGCGGCGGTAATCACTTACCATCAGGTGAGCCGTATGCTCGTTTACCCCCTCACAACACCAAAGTATGAAAACCAACAGCAACACTACTTATCTCATCGTAACACAGAACAGCCTCTCAGCAACACCATCTTTCTTGCTTTTACTAGAAGAATCACTACAATTAACAAAACCACGATACTCTAATTTTACGTGTCTTAGCACTCGTAGCATGACATTACTCGTAGAATGACTTAGGCGGAGTCTGTGCCTACAGTATACTTTATAATGCACAAATGAAAAATCGATATATCCTCAATTCTACCAGGCCACCATCGATATGACACTCCGCTAAAGTGATGCAACCTCTTGCTCTCGATCCATGCGGTTGACATGATGTTATAGACGCGCCAATAATCTTATTTTAGGTTACACCATATTAATAAAATAAAAAACATCGCAACGCAGTTGCGGGTTTGTTGAGTTGTTCTCACCGGTAACGATTTCTATGCTTAATTTAAATATATCGATATATCAAAAATCTATATTTCACGTATCAATTTCAGTATTGAATTCAATATGTTTTGCTTGAAAGCTGCTCAGTGTCGAATTTCTGTCAATAATATTAGGTGGATACACGAACATATTTATACTTGCACGATGCTGCTTAGTAAAACTTATATTTGTCTAAGATCTATATACTTTTGTAGTGGTGTACACATGTAAACAAATGTGTAATGGCAGCAGAATAGAGCAAATAATTTAAAAGAAAGGATATTTTTCTCGATAAGTATCAATACTCTTTGTAAATAACGATATATTTTTAATTGTCCATCCCTAACGGTTCCCACCAAAGACACAATCTCACGGCTAGATTCAAGATACTCCATTAGTAGATTAACGGGTAAAAAAGTGGGGAAACATGCGGTTTTTTAAATACAGAATGCGCGTTACTAAGTACAATTATAAACTTTAATTATGTAGTAAAAAAATCTGTTTATTGTCAGAACTTGCAAAACTATAGCTCTTTTTTTGAAACATATACTGCATAATTGTGTAATAACACAAGATTAATTTACGTGCCCATAATAATTTTTTTCTATATCACGGAACTTGCGGGAATTAATAAGTAATTTATAGACCTAGTTATGTTTTAGGGCATAATTAAACGTGATTATATAGATTTTCTTAATAAAAAGATTTAAAAAAAGCATTGAACTCTTTTCCTTATCGTTTCCAAAAGATAAGTAATTAAACCTCAGTAAATGTTTGATTTATAATAATTCCATTAAAGGTGAAGGTCGACCGTGTAGTGGCAGTGAAAGTGATACAAATATTTAAATAACAAACCACGAGATGGGCAGCGGGTTGTCCTAACAACAGATAAAAACTAAAAAAACTGCGATGGCCAACTCGCCTGATTAGCGTGGCAATAATAACAAATATCTCGCTAATGAAGCAATATACGGGGGAGGCCTAATTTTAGCAGTGGACTTTTGATAAGTAAATTTTGCTTACCATAAGAAATTTTGAAACAGTATGAAAAGAAAAATAACAAATAAGAAAAAAACAAAAGAAATAAGTCAAATTAATTTTTCGTTTAAACCTAATCTGCATCATTGAAACCCGCATGTTTGATAAATTAAAAAATATTCTCAGGACATATGAACTCCACCAAAAAACACTGCGTGGCCCAATTTTAACCACTCCAAAACCCTTTTTAGAAGTGCTAAGAGGTCTGTGCCCAGCTGTGAGACGCTAATAGGTTGGAATTTACGGCAGAAATTACATTTAAATTTTTTTTAAAGCATTTAATAACGAAAAATTTGTACTTATGCTGACTAACACAGCATAAATGACAAATAAATTTGCATATTTAAATACACCTTTTTAATAGATCTAACATATTAATTCTAATCAAGGTCTAATTCATTTTGTTTCAGTAATCCCAAGTCAAAAGAACAAAGAAAAAAGTCAAGCCGCCGCGCCGGAGGACGAGGCCGACGTAGTCTCATCTGTTATCGGTGAATATGGGCGCTGGCAACTGCTTATGACGTTCCTTCTTGCCATGTTCTCATTTCCCTGCACATTCCATATTTATTTACCTACATTTACAGTAAGTTCAATTTTATAATTACGCGCATTGTATTAGATATCTACACAAAACATTATTTTCTAATTTTAGATAGTATTTTAAAAAAAAAACCTGATTTATTTATATTTATGTCATTTTACTTGCACATGAATTATATTTTTATCTAATTTATAGTTTTTACGCTAATAGTATATGATGAAAGTAGAAAAATAATAGGCTTAATTTAATCAAAACAGGTAAAATCAACGAAGTTCTGGTGTCGGTTACCGGATAACCTTGCGGGCCTACCTATACAGGACTGGATCAACTACAGTCAGCCAGTCGATGCCTGTTATGTCCGTGTGTTACCAGATGGCATTACCGCAGAGAGTATTTTAAACTACACAGCACCAGTACTGGACTCCTTTCAGAAGTGTCAAGAATGGGATTTTGATAGATCCGAAATTGGAGATACAATCATATCGGAATGGAATCTAGTCTGCGATAGATCGGGGTTGACGAATCTTGCCGAAGTAATGTTTCTAATTGGTGTCGGATTCGGAGGTGTTATAGGCGGTTGGATCTCTGACAAGTGAGACGATTACAAATTTGCCTAAGCAAAAAACATTATTACATGATATATTGTCATTATTATAACCTACAATCTACTGTGTCGTGGCGGTAAAGGAACATGTATTACTCCATAACGTCCTATTGGTGTCGTAAGATGACTAAGGGAAACCTACCCGAAGATGGACGGCAGTGTCTTCCTATTTTTTTTACTTATTATAAGCCAGTGTTTGACCACAATCCCACCTGGTGGTAAGTGGTGATACAGCCCTAGATGGTAAAACGCATTCTCTAAGCGTAACAAAAGCTATTATATGTATTCACTCTTGTCTTGAAGACGCCCAGATTGTATTCGAACGGAAAGATAGACGCCAGCAAATTATTCCCCTCCTTTGCCGTACGCACTACAAAAAACGAAGCAAACCTTTTGGTTCTAATGCGTAGCATTTCGACAACAAAGGGGTGAAGATCCGTCAATCGCCTGGTTGTCCTTAGGTGGAAAGGAGAGCGAGGAATTAAAGCGTGTAATTCCTGCGTACACTCACCGAAATGTATCCTATAGAATACCGAGAGACTGGATACTCTGCGCCTGTGCTCGAGGCTGACAAGATTGGTTTCAACCAAATCAAGGTCACCAATAAGCCTCTTAGCACGTCTCTTCACTGAGTCCAACGCTGCCATGTGACATTTTGCAGCACCTGCCCATATGTGACAGCAGTACTCCATGCCCGACCGGACTTGCGCTTTATATAAGGTAATAAGCTACCCCGACGTGAAGTACCGCCGCACCCTTGCAAGATAACCAAGTTTCCTTGCGGCTACTTTGGCTCTGGGCTCAATGAACCGCCCATAGTTTAGGTTCAGCTGTGATGTCGTCTGCATACCCATAGGTACCGGGTATGAACAGATCATTTATATGGAGCAGGAAGAGAGTTGCGTAGAGAACGGACCCCTGAGGAACACTGGCGTTAGCCGCCACAGTATCAGATGAGCAGCCATCGACGACGACCTGGAGAGACCGTTCACTCAGAAAGTCCTTCACCCAGACAATTAGGCCAGGAATAGGCCGTACGCTGAAAGCTTGCCCAGTAGACTAGCGTGGCAAACCCTGTCAAAGACCTTTGAAACATCGAGGGAAACAGCAGAAACAGAGGGCTGAACCTGCGCCTTGTAAAGTTGCAAGCGGTGTGCCGGCATGAAATACTGTCGCGCTCTGCTGAGTACGCCAAGCTTTTTAGAGGCCAAATTGGCCGTATCTTCCAAGTGACCATGACACTCCATATGTCAACATCGAGGATTCCGATACTGGCTGAGGCAATAAGGAGAGTGCCTTGAAACTGAGGAGATACGACAAAAGGATTGTTTTTAGCGGTAAACGCCCAAACTTGTGTCTTCTGGGGATTAAACTGGACTAGATTTATTCGCCCGCCGCGTTAATGGGCTTGTAATCGGAGCATGCACCGTCTACTACGACCTTGATGCACCGATCTGCAAAGTAACTGGTGATCCAATTGCACAATTTTTCGAGAAGTCCATAGGAAGGCAGCTTCGAAACAAGTGCTTTATGCCAAACGATGGAAGGCCTTCGCTATGTTCAAACTAACGGCCAACGCCTCCCCATTGGACTCCGCTGCTTCCACCCATCTATGAGTTAGGTAACCTGGAAGATCACCAGCTGAACGACCTTGACGGAAACCGTACTGGCGGTCACTAATCATCTGGTGATCCTCAAGGTACCGCATGAGCTGGCAGTAAATGATGGTTTCCATTACTTTGGAGAACAAGGAGGTGATAGCGATAGGCCTGTAGTTGGACGGATCTGAGCGGTCGCGTTTTTTAGGGATCGGGTACACCAAAGCTGTCTTTCTTGAGTTCAGGTCTACGCCTAGGGAGTAGAAGTACCGGAAAAGACACGTTAAAACCGGTGCCGACCCCGGAATATACGTCTTCAGCACAATAGGTGGGACTCCATCAGGCCCACTCGACTTGTTGACGTCAAGAGGGGGATGCTTTACGCACCGAGCGCTATGTAAAAGCACTTCCTGCATGGAGCACTCACACCGCGGGATTGTCGGCGATGTGTTCCCCCCGTCATCTAGAGTCAATTAGAAGCAAAAAGAGAGCCTAGCAGATCGGCTTTCTTCTTTGCGTCATGGGCCAGTGAGTCGTCCCCCTTATGCAGAGATGGCAGAGATGGCTGACAGAAGTTCCCTTGGACAGCCTTGGCAAGAGACCAGAATGCACGTGTTTTCGAAGAGAGGCGATCTAGTTTCTCGCCAATTCTGCCAATATGCTCTAACTTTGCCTTGGCAATGACACTTTTGAAGGACTAGGTCCTTCAAAAGTGTCATTGCCCATAGGCGGAATTATACTTATTTTTAAGAGCGCTGTTGCTTACATCCCGGGAAGGTGATAATAACACCTGAAAATTAGTTGATCGCTACCAAGCCGTTTCTAATATGATTTGTATATTTAACTGTAAAACGTTACCTAATAGTTGTCAGCTATTTTTTTAAAGTTCCATTGGGATTATTGCCGGTTTTTCGCGGGTCAGAGGTATTTTCCGAACTAGTGGTAATTTAGTCTTAAAAATAAGTTTCAATAAATATTTTTATTGTTAAAATTTTGAAAACCCCGAAAAGAACCTTACCGCAGCTAACAAAATAGCTAATACTAACTTGCTAAAACATATCTAAGAATCACCGCTAGAAAGCTGCTTATAAATTTAAAAAAACCGTACCCATATGATCCCACAGACAAACACACATAGCGGTCAAACTTATAACACTCCTCTTTTTGCGTCGAGAGTTAAAAATGCAACAACTTTAAGCCGTCATAAGTCTTTAAAGCAGTAGCTTGTTATATTTTTTTATATATATACATTACATTTTTTTAAAGCGTAATTACATTTAATTATATATAGATATATATTTTCACCTGCTATATATATAGCAGGTGAAAATCTCAAGGAGCAAGATCAGGACTATAATATTTTGGATGCATTAACACTTCCCAACCAAGTTCTCCCAATTTTTCCTGAGTAGCCAAAGATGTGCTGAGCTCGTGTAGTACCCAGATATCGAACTATTTTGTATAGACATACTTTTTCAAATGGATCAAAACTGTTTTACGGTCAATTCTCAATTCCTCGGCTATATCTTAACTACTAATATGCTGATCTTGCTCCACTATTTCAAAAATGGCATCGACTTATTCGTATGAGGGCGACCAGAGCGAGCTGCATTTCTGACATCAAAATTCCCGGACTGAGAACTCTTTAAAATGTGTCATTGTGCTATTCTTAATGACACTGCATGAAGTCCATAAGCTTCACAAATTTTTTTCGCGGCTTGAGTCGCATTTGTCCTTTTTTGTGATAAAACTTCAGAATGTATCGAATTGCTTCGTTATTTTTTTACTTTTTATTTTCCCTTTTCTCAATGTCCTTTATTTATTGATATTCAAACCAAGCAGATACAAACAATACAACGAAATAGATTTTTCTTCAATTTTATACAAATTAAAAATTTTGTACAGCCGACTTCAATATAAATTATTAAGAATAACTCAATAAGTATTGGTCTGACCTTGATCAAATTCATATTGAGCCACACGAGAAGTATCAGCTTTCAAATAAAAACATCATCGAAATCGGTTCACCCAGTAAAAAGTTATGAGGTAACACACAGAAAAAAACATACAGTCGAATTGAGTACCGTCTCCTTTTTGAAAGTCCGCAGAAAACACGAAGAAACTTTATCCCAGACCTGTTATAAAAACCATGTATTACTCTGGCGAAAATGGAAGACAAATTCTAAAAAAAAGGCAAAAATAATGTTTTTTCTTTATTTCCAGATTCGGCAGAAAGCGCATCCTAATGAGCCTTATGTGTCTTCAGTGTACCTTAGCAATACTTTCGTTTTTTGTTCGCTCCTATGTCCAATACGTCATAGTGCGACTCCTCATGGGATTGGTCTCAGTGCCGGTGGTCTTCGCTGCCTTCGTACTTTCCGTCGAACTCGTCAGCGGTAAATGGGTGACGATTGCCGGCGTCTGCAATTTCTTTCCCCTACCGCTGGCCTACATAATAGTATCACTCCTGTCACTACTGCTACCAAATTGGAGAGACTTGCAAATGGCTCTATCACTACCAGGGTTTATACTGTTAATATTATGGTAATTTACATTCATATACGTATTATACTATAAGCAAATATGTGTAGACTTATAATTTTTTTCTTTTACTCATTATTTCATTTATTCGAGTGTAAAATAATATTATTTGTCACGATTAATTATTGAATTGCTTCGAAGTATAATCTTTTCATAAAATAAATGTGGAGAAAAGTCGTGTGTGTAATTTGAATTAACTCCAAGTAGATAATAAAGGATTCTAAAGCGAAAGTAGCCATTTTTGTATATTTATTATTTATGTGTATATTTACGATTCACGTAAAACCTACTGGAAGAGTATCTACGAAATTTTAAATAAAGATAGCTTTACCCTACGCAACATATATTATGCAAATTTTCATCCTTTTCAGCTGTAAAAAAGAGAATTGGGTATTCCCTTTATTTAGATGTTTATATGCATAATAGTTGCTGATGATTTCATTAATAATTAACAACAGGATAACGCTGAGCTCTTATATGTGTTTTATAATAACTTACTTCTGCCTTACTTGTGTTAAAATTTTTAAACGTTCTTATGTACTCGTATATTTTAAATGTTCTAATCTACTTTGTAGGTTTATTAAAACAGCACCATCAGTAAAACTGGAAAAGAGTGTTACGTTTTTCTTTTAGTTAAGTAAAACTAACCAACCTCGTAAGACATGCAGGAAGTCGATGGATGCAGGTGACTCAGGATCGTAATTTGTGGCATTCCTTGGGGGAGGGGAGGCCCACAGAGTACTTTTTTATGGGGAGGCCTATATTCAGCAGTAGACTTATGAATGATGATGATGATAAACCAAGCTAACTAACTAATAAAATCGTTATATTATATTTACCTATTCCAATATTAAATCTAATATCTGTTGTTAAAATGGAGGCTTAAAACTTAATTTAAAAGAAGTTATTTTCTTTTGTAGGTTTATTTTGCCCGAGTCACCACGATGGTTGATAGGTAGAGGAAGAACTGAAGAAGCTAAAGAAATAATTATCAAAGCCGCAAAATTCAACAGACGCGAAATTCCAGAAGAATTAGATAAAATGCTTATGATGAGTAAACCAGAAACAGAAGCTGAGCAACCCAGCGTTCTTATGCTTTTCAGAAGAGGTCTTCTAAAGCGTACATGCTGTTTGTTCATCGCGTGGTTTTCTATGACAATCGCATACTACGGACTTTTATTAAACATTGGAAACTTTAATTTAGGCAATCTACACGTAATGTCTATTATACTTGCCGTTGTTGAAATACCAGCAATTGCAGTGAGCATTCCAATATTACTTAAAGCGGGAAGAAAAATACCAATCTTCATCAGTATGCTCGTGTGTGGGCTTGCATGCGTTGCAAGCGAATTATTCTCAATGGCCTTTGACCATGATTGGATACTAATCGCATGTCTGATGATCGGAAAGTTTGCGATCGGATCTACGAACATGATGATGCCGATCTTCACAGCGGAGCTTTATCCAAGTTTGATAAGAAACCTGGGTGTCGGATCTAGTCAAGTGTCGGCTGGGTTGGCGTTGATTTGCATTCCCTATCTGTGGGAATTGGTAAGTGTGTGCTTCACTTTAAGTTCAGTATAAAAATATAGGTATGAAATTAAAAATATACGCTGCCGTTATCACGAGCTCTTAATAAGTCCACAGCTGGCCATAGGTTTTTCCTGGTCAGAGGGTTTGTTAAAATCCCTACACTTTCTAGGAGGATTGGCGATCGCATTACCAGTCCCTGTTCTGCTCTCGTGTCAGTCACTATCATTTTTTACTATTGTTTCTCGCTTGCTTCACTTTTAGGTTATACCCTAAAGTATTATTTATAATAAAAAATACTAGAATAACTAAACGACCGTCCTTAAAATTCAAAAGAGTTTTCTGTTATTCGTATTATCGTTTATTGTCATTCATAACAAAATTTCTAGGATCTCAGCTCTATCTCATACTCTGTCATAGTTATAGGTATGACAATATTAACAAAGAACTTTTCCTAATTTTTCAGACGGCATTGAACGAACATCTGCCAATGGTGACGATAGCAGCATTAAGCGCAGTTGGCGGTGGTATTGTTTTACTCCTGCCCAATACGACAAGTATTAACGACAGCAAAAAGTAAATATCTTATGTAAAAGCACATAAATAATAGTTGGTTAAAGTAAGCTTGGGTGCGAAAAGTGAAATCTAGTACTATGCATGCAGGATATAAGAATAGGATTGCGCTTACCGACAACTTCGCCTTCTAAACGTCAATTATTCTCACGACCACTGTCATAACACGGCGTCTAATAAAGGTTCATAGTTTATTAATTAAAAAAAAAACAATACCATTTTAATAACAATTTATATTTATAAAATGTGTTTATAGTTTATTTTTTTATCTTATTTTACACAATACACTTTTTTCTTTATAGGAGAGGGGGCAAACGAGCATGCGGCTCACCTGATGGTAAGTGACTACCGCCGCCCATGAACAACTGCAACACCAGGGAGGGAATTGCAGATGCGTTGCCGGCCTTTTAAAAAGGAGTACGCTCTTTTCTTGAAGGTCCCTAAGATTCCACAAGGAAGTCGTGCGAGGAAGAAAACATCTTCTAAATTGCACAGTGGTGGACCGCCAATCATCCAGATGGTGTGGATGGTATCGGGAGTTCTGCCGCGATGTGCGTTCGTGAAATTTGGCGGCTGGGATTAATCCGAACAATTCCTCAGATCACTCCCCATGGTAGATGCGAAAGAAAATGCAAAGGGATGCAACATCTCTTCGCAGTGCCAATGAATCGAGCCGATCGGAAAGAACTCGGTCGTCGACGATTCGAGCCGCTCTGCGCTGGATGCGGTCAAGTGGAAGGAGCTGGCACTGGGGAGCCCCTGCCCAGAGATGGCAACAGTATTCCATGTGAGGCCGAACCGAACCTGCGCCTTGTAAAGTTGCAGGCGGTGTGCCGGCATGAAATACTGTCCCGCTCTGCTGAGCACGCCAAGCTTTATAGAGGCCAATTTGGCCTTCTCTTCCAAGTGACCACGAAACTGCACGTCACTCGATATGTCAACTCCGAGGGTACCGATACTGTCTGAGGCAAGAAGGGGAGTGCCTTGAAACTGAGGAGATACGACAAAGGGTTTCTTTTTAGCGGTAAACGCGCAAACTTGTGTCTTCTGAGGATTAAACTGGACTAGATTTAGTCGCCCCCAATCCGAGACTTTGTTCAGCAAAGACACAAGTTTGTTCCGGTATTCGGCGACGTTTTCCTGTCATCTGCATAGCAATGAATGTTACCAGTTAGCAACATATCATTGATATGCAGAAGAAACAGCGTTGGTGATAGCACACAGCCTTGTGGAACACCAGCGTTAATAGGCTTGTAGTCAGAGCATGCACCGTCTACAACGACCTTGATGCCCCGATCTGCAAGGAAGCTGGTGATCCAATTGTACAATTTCTCGGGAAACCCATAGGAAGAGAGCTTCGAAAGAAGCGCTTTGTGCCAAACCCGATCGAAGGCCTTCGCAATGTCCAGACTAACGGCCAACGCCTCCCCCTTGGACTCTACTGCCTCCGCCCATCTATGGGTCAGGTAGACCAGAAGATCACCAGCTGATCGACCCCGACGAAAACCGTATTGGCGGTCACTAATCAGCTGGTGATCCTCAAGGTACCGGATGAGCTGGCAGTTAATAATGGATTCCATTATTTTGGAGAACAAGGAGGTGATCGCGATAGGCCTATATTTGGATGGGTCTGAGCGGTTGCCTTTTTTAGGGATCGGGTGGACAAAAGCTGTCTTCCATGAATTCGGGACTACGCCTTGGGAGTAGGAGTACCGGAAAAGACGCGTTAGGACCGGTGCCAACTCCGGAGCACACGTCCTCAGCACAATTGGGGGGATTCCGTCAGGGCCACTCGACTTCTGGATGTCCAGGGAGAGCAGTCCTTTGCGAACCGAGCGCTGTAAGAACAGCACATCCGACATGGAGCACTCACACCGCAGGATGGTCGGCGGTGTTTTCCCCCGTCATCAAGAGTCGAGTTAGACGCAAAAAGGGACTCTAAAAGGTCGGCTTTGTCTTTTGCGTCTTGGGCCAGTGACTCATCTTCCCTGTGCAGAGATGGTAGTGATGGTTTACAGAAATTCCCTTGGACAGCCTTGGCGAGAGACCAGAATGCACGGGTTCCCGAAGGAAGGCGAACTAGTTTCTCGCCAATTCTGCCTATGTGCTCTGACTTTGCCTTGGCAATAACTCTTTTGAAGGACCTGGAGGCAAAGTTATACTTCTTTTTAAGTGTGCTGGTGTTTACATCCCGAGTCGCCGAAGCTGCAGCCCAGGCTTGATAACACTCCTGCTTACTGCGTAATGCAGTCTTACAGTAGCGTCCAAACCAAGGCTGAGATCTGCCTCCGATAGGTACCACAGATGATGGAATAAATAGTTCCATTCCCTGTAGCACCACATCAGTGACAGAGTCAGCAACAGCGCTGGGATCATCCGGCGAGAAGCAAACCCGCCCCCATGGGTAGGATGCAAAGAAAGACCGCATTCCGTCCCAATCCGCCGACCTGTAATGCCAAACACGGCGGCAACCTGCAGAACGCAATCGCGAAGGGAGCGTGAGTGGCACCATACTCCAGATCAGACAATGGTCCGAAGAGCCGAGAGGGGCATCATCGACGGAAACCTGATATCCGTCCGGATGAGAGGTCAGCAGAAGGTCCAACAGGGAAGGTTTATGATCCTCCACATCTGGAATCCGCGTAGGCGAAGTAACCAGTTGTGTCAGACCATATGCCAAGGCAAAGTCATAAACAGATCTTCCCGCATGATCGGTTAAACGTGAACCGAGCCATTGGGCATGGTGGGCGTTAAAATCGCCAAGGATCACGATCTCTGCGGATGGGACCTGTTGTAGCAAGGAATCTGTAGCCATTTGGACGTGGTCGATGAGTCGGTCTGTTTCGGCATTACCGCTATGGGACCTATAGAGGCACCCGTAGACGCGCGGATGGTCGTCGCTGTCTACGCGTAGCCATAGGATGGACAGGTCCGAACCTTCAAGACTGCCGAGGCGTCGAGAACAGATGTCCTCTCTGACATACACGCAAACTCCAGCCCGAGGCACAAAGGAATGCTCCAATTTGTACCCCGGGTAGGAGAAATACGAAATATCAGCCGGAGAGGAAACCTGCGTCTCGGTCAGAAAGAGCAAGGCCAGCTTCGCCGTATCGAGATGGTAGTGGACGGCGTTTAGGTTAGAGTGAAGTCCCCTGATGTTGCAGAAATTCACGGATAGCGTGGCAGGGGTCGCCTTTGTGTTCTTGCTCAGTTTGTCCCGAGTAGTTATGTTTTTGAGTGGAATTTTGCCCCCCCCCCCCCCCCCCAGAATATGCGGGGCAGCCTGAGCACCCACGCTCAGGATCGGAATAACATGGTCGTGGATGCTCAGCGAGGGATTCTCCAGGGGCACTGGTACCCTCCTGGGGTAGTCTTTCGTGTAATTCCGCTACCATGTTGATGGGGGGGGGGGGGGGTGGGAATTGGGCCTCCGGCCACCTGCACTCACCAGACGAAACGCAGAAGCAAAGCTTCTACTTCACGCCGGTATTCTGTGAGGTCGTGGTAGCAACCCAGCTCAAGCCGGCCCATACGTGCAACAGCAAAAACTGCTGCGTGGCTCTACCACCGTTAAAATTACCACACTTGAAATTAGTGCGCAAAAAGAAGTTGAATGTCAAAAATTTGACAGTACCATTCTTTTCGTTCCCGTACGTGTTATTCTGTATCACCTAAGTGGGTTCGATTTTCATAACAAATAGACAGCAGGGATTACCTCTAAATTTAATTTTAACTATTTATTGAGTATTAGTATAGTATATAGTAATAGCATATAGTAGAGTAGTAAAATATGTGCCATCAGGTTACATTTTTGTAGAAGTTGCCAACTCTTACAAAAATGCCAAGGCAAGCCAAGCTAAGGCCTAGCCGTACTGGCAATGCCGCTCTTTTCATCAGTCTGTGGGACTTGGGGAAGATATTTTTGATTTTTTGACCACTTAGCTGTGATAGTTTTACTTTTAACTTCATTATATATACTACTATTGTGTATACTTTTCACATTTCCAAAAGCGGCGGTTTAGTTGGTAGAGGGCACATGGCTCTAATGAAAAATATAACTTTTTTTTATTTTATTTTTTTATTTAAAAAAACGTTACCCCACACTAGGATTTTCTCCTGTATCGTGGAGGCAGTTTACATACACAAATTGCACAAGGACAAACATCCAGACCCGGGACAATTATTTGTAGGCCATACTAATACTTGTTCCGTGCGGGAATCGAACCCGCGCCCCCCAGCGCAGCAACTCATTGCTAAGCCACTACGCCACGGAGCCGTCAACTTTAAAGCTAAATATTTCGCAAACGAACCCCTGAATCGAAAAGATGTTGTTCCACATGAAAGGCTTATCCAACGATACCCCACATGATTGAATAGACGGCTAAAAAATCATCCCCCATTTACTTGTATGGGAAGTACCCAAAATTTCAGTTTTCTAGGCATGATTAATATCTATAACAATGCCAAATTACAGATTTGTAGCACCTAGGGTCTCTGAACAAAACCGCGGACGGACGGACGGACATGACGAAACTATGAGGGTTCCTTGTTGTCTAACTACGGAACCCTAGTAAGTGGTTTCAATGATTTCTTTAATTTGTACAAGGAACTATGCAGGGCTGGAAAGACCAGAATCATGCGACCAGTAAGATCTATTATGATCGCTGCTATGGCCATAGTTTACTGCTATGAACACTTCATCTGGGCTAAGAACATATTTTCCCAGATGAGTGTTGCGTATGTATGCGCATTAATCCACAATCAGTTAGGATGTGCTCCTTCCGTTAAGGAACAGAATTGATACATCCTTGAGTTGCCTAGTCTTAGGATGAGCATGTGCTGTCCAATCAAGGCTCTTGCAATAATACACAGTTTATTGAATGAATGAATGAATGAATATACTTTTATTGTACACCACGAACAAATATACAAACGTCATAACAAAATCAGATTATAATATGTACAATTTGGCGGCCTTATCGCTACATAGCGATCTCTTCCAGGCAA